GCCAACATTGAACACGAGGAAGAAGTGGCAAAAACCACAAAAGGATCTAAAGGAAAAGGACATGGTGTTGGTCATTTATCCAAATGTACCTCGAGGAGAATGGCAGCTTGGACGTATAATAAAGACGTTTCCAGGGTCTGATGGTCATGTACGAGTTGCTAATGTTCAAGTGGGACAGTCTATTCTGTCCAGGCCAATCAGCAAATTATGCCCTTTGGAATGGAATAAAGATGATGAGGATGAGTCTAGCAGACGATGAAAAGATTGGACATCCGAACTTCAGGACACTGGGATTCGAGGATACAGATTCCAGGATACAGATTCCAGGATACAGATGACAGGATACAGATGACAGGATACAGATTCCAGGATACAGATTCCAGGATACAGATTCCAGGATACAGATTCTAGGAGATGGATCGCTAAGATTCATGGATAGTTTGTTTGTGAACTTATGGACTAACGACAGTGCTTTCGGGAAATAACTGTGATTATGTAAGTACTGACACCAGATATGACAAAAATGTATTTTGTTTCAAAAATGAGACTATTTGTTTGAAAGAATTGACTTTTCATGGACATTTCCAAATTTTCAGAATGCATTGGTGTTTTGAATGCTTTTGTTCTTTTGAATTGATGTTTGATACTTTTCATGTATTGATGCATTTTCAAAAATTTGATATTTGATATGTTAAATGAAATGATGCCTCTATTTATTTAACTTGATAGATTAGAATCTATCAAGGAGAGGGGAAATGGGTTGGAGAACACCCGTTTCTGGAGTTAAAAACAAGACTCAAAAACGTAAAATGCTTCGCGGAAAAACGCACGTGAAATCCGTGATTCGAAGTCCAGCTGTGGCTTCGAAATCCATGTACTAATCAGTCGAGCCTGGGTTGTCAAAAGGGCAACATATCCATTATTCCCGGTAAGGGATGTATTGTTGGGCTCGGCTCAAAGCTGATCTTGGTTAGGTCAGACTGTTGTCAGATGGGCAACAGGAGAAACTAGTCCCAGTAAGGGACCTTGAATTAATGTTTAACAGAAACAACTGTTAGAAAAAGCAAACAACATGTCTCCATTGTTTGGGAGACGATTGTAAATACATTTGTAAATACTTGTGGGATAATTAAAGGTGTAAAAGTTAATTTTGTCTTTTCATTTTGGATGGTTAACGAATCATCACTTCAAAGACGATCGTAACTTCCATGCTTTAACATTGACGTAACACTGTTGTAGCACTAAGGCGATCGTAACTCCCATGCTTTAACATTGACGTAACACTGTTGTAGCACTAAGACGATCGTAACTCCCATGCTTTAACATTGACGAAACACTGTTGTAGCACTAAGGCGATCGTAACTCCCATGCTTTAACATTAACGTAACACTGTTGTAGCACTAAGACGATCGTAACTCCCATGCTTTAACATTGACGTAACATTGTTGCAGCACTAAGACGATCGTAACTCCCATGCTTTAACATTAACGTAACACTGTTGTAGCACTAAGACGATCGTAACTCCCATGCTTTAACATTGACGTAACACTGTTGTAGCACTAAGACGATCGTAACTTCCATGCTTTAACATTGACGTAACACTGTTGTAGCACTAAGGCGATCGTAACTCCCATGCTTTAACATTGACGTAACACTGTTGTAGCACTAAGACGATCGTAACTCCCCTGCTTTAACATTGACGAAACACTGTTGTAGCACTAAGGCGATCGTAACTCCCATGCTTTAACATTGACGTAACACTGTTGTAGTGCTAAGACGATCGTAACACCTATATTTTAATAGAGACTGACCACTGTGGAAGCGCTAAGACGAGCGTAACTCCCATACTTTAACATAGACTTACCACTGTTGAAGCTCAAAGGCGATCGTAACTCCCATACTTTAGTATAGACGTAACACTGTTGTAGCGCTAAGCCGATCGTTACTCTCATACTATAACAAAGACTTACGTCAGTCGTAGCGCTACGACGATCGTAACCCCTAGAGTTTAACATAGATTTACGACAGTCGTAGCGTTAAGGCGATAGTAGCTCCTTTACTTTAGCATAGACTTACGACAGTCGTAGAGTTATGATCGCTTTTGTGGAACGGGCCCTGTTCTCCACGTTGCCCCTACACACACACCTCTACGTTTTGTCTGATACGTGGCACATGCCTTTATACATTGATAAGAGATATCTGAACTAAATATTTGTTCTCACCATCTGTCATCTCACTTGGCATGGTGAAATCTCATCAAAACGATCAAACCTCTTACCTCTGCACTCCCGAAGACTTCTAAGAGTGGCAATGACATAGACATTCTTTCTTTAAGAAACATTCAGAAAAGGATGTGGGACATAATCTCAATGTCAGTGTTAATTTTGTTGATGATTGTGTACTGCTGGACGGTACAGAAATTAATGTCAACCGAGCGAAGTGCCATATCAAATCGCCTTAGTCCTTCGCTTGGATGAATGAGACTCAGTATCTTAGGCGACATTATGGTGTAGCTCGATCTTGTTTTTACCGTTTTCGCCATGTTTGTGGTTTTGTCACAGAGGTCCATCCATGGTATGACACAGACTATGTAGAGGGCGTCATGGAAAATGATAAATACAAAATTATTTAGAAATAGTCCCGTTTACAGCCACAGATCTATCCAGGCCAACAAACCTCATCTTGTCCTTTTTGATGAATCCAATGAAATCATTTATATTATTGAATTTGTCTGTCCCTTTTGACAAGATTCAGGAAAAGGATGAAAAATATGCAGACCTCGCTTTCGAAATGTCACGCTTGCATCCCAGGTACCAAGTTGTCCGTCTCCCCATTGTTCTCGGTGCCTTAGGTTTGGTACCTCCCAATCTGTTGATTGGCATTGGGAGAGCACCTGGGTTTGCTACCGGGAATACAGCCCATCTGACAATGTGGGTTATGCAGAAGGCAGCACGCGCAGTGTTGGGTGAGGTGAGGTGAGGTGAAATGGGGTTTAACGTCGTCCAAGATTATTTCACTTATATAGCGACGTGCATGTATGTGTGTGTGTTTGTGTGGCTGCTTGTACTAGTCCGGACTGATGCCGATTTATAGTGCTAGCTCACTGAGATACCATGCCGCAGTTTAACATGAATACCCCACTCAGACACAGTATACTGACTCCGAGCCGACCAGTCCTTGTTTAAGCCCCTTAATGCCGAGCGCCAGACAGGGTAACAACAAGTACCATCTTTTAACGTCTTTTGGTATGACGCGGCCCGGGATCGAACCCCGGACCTTCCGCTCTCCAGGCGGACGCTCTACCATTAGACCACGGAGGCGGTCTCGCAGTGTTGGGGAGTCTTCACATTCTCCCAAAAGTTCTGGGTGGGTTTGACTAGGCAGCGCTTCCTGGGAGAAGTCCCATTCGCTGTCTGGGCTACGTGTAGAGGGGGAAAGGGCCCTGAGCTATGAATGAGCCTAACCAGTCTGACTGTGCCAGGATCACCCAAACCCTCTGTGCTGCATTTTCTATTTTAATCTATAAAAAAATTAATTAAACAAATAAAATAAAATAATAATAATTTAGGACATAACAATATATTAGAATTATGTAAAATATAATCGTAAGTCACTCTTGCCTAACATTAGGAATAGAATCCGGAAGAGACACTCTCACAGCGGGATGCCGTGAAAACCTGCGATATGCAGATCCCATAAATGTATTAAGCAGACAATGGTCACTGGTCGATACATTAATAATTCTGCTTTCAAAAATGTGAAAACAAACTGATTCAGATTACATGTCTATAAAGGAATGATATTTACCCCTTATAAGTGGACCCGTGAAGACTCCGGGGTAGAATAGGTCTTCAGCAACCCATGCTTGCCGTAAAAGGTGACTATGCTTGTCGTAAAAGGCGACTAACGGGATCGGGTGGTCAGGCTCGCTGACTTGGTTGCTGCATGTCATCGATCCCAATTGCGTGGATCGATGCTCATGATATCAATCACTGGATTGTCTGGTCCAGACTCGATTATTTACAGACCGCCGTCATATAACTGGAATATTGCTGAGTGCGGCATTAAACAAACAAACAAACAAACAAACAAACAAACAAAACAAACAAATGTGACATGACTGAACTTCTGATACAATCGGTGTTGTCAAACCAACCAACCAACCTTATAAGTGAGTAAGTGATTGAGTATGGTTTTAAGCCGCTTTTAGCAGTATTCCAGCAATATCACGGCGGGGGACACCGGAACAGGGGCTTCACACATTGTACCCATGTTGGGAATCGAACCCTGGTCTTCGGCGTTTACCCCTTATGAATGTTATTAAGGGGGTATGTACGAACAGGTAAGCTGCGTTATCTGACACCTCTCTGTGATGTGTACATGCGGATAACTGTTGACATGGAACCACTTTATGCATCTAAACAATACTAGTAGAGTCCGTAAATATTTTCATAACTCGTTCCACTTTCACGATAGATGTATCAATTCAAAGATTATTGGACCCGTGAAGATCCATGCTTGTCGTAAAAGGTGACTATGCTTGTCGTAAAAGGCGACTAACGGGATCGGGTGGTAAGACTCGCTGACTTGGTTGATGCATGTCATCGATCCCAATGGCGTGGATCGATGCTCATGACATTAATCACTGGATTGTTTAATCACTCGATTATTTACAGACTGTCGTCATATAGCTGGAATATTGCTGGGTGCGGCGTTAAACAACAAACCAACCAACCAATCAAAGATTATTTTGTGTCACTAATAAATCCGCAGTAGAGAAATGTTTAACGCTAGAAATTTAAGTCCACTGTACATTGACTTAACCAAACTAAACGTTAGATAAATGAAGGAATTTATATTTTGTAATTATATTCCACCGTTGATAGGCTTATTGAGACACATGAATGACTCTGAATCCGACTTTGAGATCAGACAGTCAGCTCACGACAGTCATTCTGAAACACTGAGCTGAACATTGTCCACGCATCTGAAACCGATCGCAGAAACGCAACCGACTTAAACCGTCCCGGATCTTGTTGGGCTACAACGCAGGGGCCAGATAAGACTCACCCGTCCTTTGTCTGTATGAATCATCAGGTAGGCAGTCAACAAATAATTTATTTGTACTAGTTTTCTGTATCTGCCTTTCATTGGGTACTGATCTTGTATGTTGTAGATAGATATTGTGACGCTCAAGCCACTGAGCCACAATGTAGGACACTCACAGTGATCAGTGTCATGTCACTTCAGTCGGGCTCAAAGGTTGATGTTGCGTTCCTGTGCAAACACCGTATGTAAAAATATTCACATTGCCAACCGTAAGTGTATTGAGGTTGGCAATCTCCCCGTTTCACTATGATATATATTTATTTCAGCCTGTCAGCGTAATTGTCTTTCTCAAACCAGTACCCGTCCGCGAAATGTGCTTCACTTTAGAGTTTTCGCCCACGTTCAACTAACGCTGTGACGTAACGGTAATACTAAAACGGCGTTTAGCTCACACTCTCCTACTAAATTGACACTTGTTACTCCAAGTAAACACGCTCTTTATTGCAATGGTTGGGAACCGCGTGGCGCACTCTTTTCAGGCGCTGTGCATACAGACCGCCTCCGTGGTCTAGTGGTAGAGCGTCCGCCCGAAGAGCGGAAGGTCCGGGGTACGATCCCCGACCGCGTCATACCAAAATACGTTAAAATATAGTACTTGTTGTTACCCTGTATGGCGCACGGCAGTAAGAGACTTAAACAAGGACTGGTCGGCCGAAGTCAAATTATTTGTCTGAGTGTAGTATTCATGTTAAACTGCGGCGTGGTATCTCAGTGGGCACACACACACACACACACACACACACACACACACACAGACAGACACCATGAACATATGATTGCAACACACTGGAAGGATGTCCCTTTCTATGACTGTGGAGAGATGGGCAGCAGATTTTAAGCTTGGCATGGAGAGGCTTGAAGCCAACCCCCATCCTGGAAGGCCTTCACGTCAGTAACACCAGATATGATCTAGACAATCCATAATACGGTGATGATCGACCGGCAAATGACTGACCGTCATATTACCAATTAAGGAGGCATTTTCCAAGGAGAGAGTACATTCTATTGTAATAGAATCTTTGCAGTGAATATAGTGTCAACTCGCTGGGTTTCAAAGGTTCTGACACCAGATAAAAATCGCACCAGGCACAAAATGTTTTGAAATAATCTAGATCCCGCTGAAGCTGATCCAGTGCTTTGTGACGATGGAGAGTCAAAACAACAGTGAAAACTGTGGAAGCTTTTGACAATAGCATCACCTAACAATGGAAAGCCTGTTCCATCAACTGGAGTGGTAATGTGAGGTGAGGTGAGGTGAGGTGAGGTGAAATGGGATTTAACGTCGCCTCTTAGATTATTGCACTTATATAGCGACGCGCATGTGTGTGTGTGTGTGTGTGTGTGTGTGTGTGGCTGCTTGTACTAGTCCGGACTGATGCCGATTTATAGTGCTAGCACACTGAGATACCATGCCGCAGTTTAAACATGATCATGAATACCCCACTCAGACACAGTATACTGACTCCGAGCCGACCAGTCCTTGTTTTAGCCCTTTAATGCCGAGCGCCAGGGTAACAACAAGTACCATCTTTTAACGTCTTTTGGTATGACTGTACTACTGTATCTCTTGCCTAACGCCGCAACCAACAATACACCTGCCAGACTTCAGCCTGTGAAATACGAATCTGGACAAGACAGCCCATTGCGTTACTGATTTTGTTGAAGCACAAAACGATATGTTAACTTTAAAGTTAGTCTGCGGCGATTCTGCAGAGATTCTGAGAAACACCAGAAGGCTATCTGTCAGCAAATACACACACAATATAATACATGATTTAACAAACAGACAGAAGACTTAACATACCACTATTGGAAAGAAATTATTAAACACAATATAATATAATATAATATATACTCACCATCAATAGAAACGCGAATACCATAAATGTTGGTTACTATATGAAGATTTCTTATATTCAAGAGATATTAGCTTGGTTCGACGCACAAGCGAACATACTGGTATGTCGGTGAACCGATCGATGTTCATGAAGGCATCACATGTGACGTCAAAGATCCGTTTCGAGATGCACCATTTGTCTCGTGCAGGAATACCGTGCAAAGCCTCTAAATCACGTGCAGTATATCATGATAAGAATAAAGACACTCTTTGGTAACACTTGACTGATTGTTAGTTTTGTCATTAAGTGGTACACATTGGAAACATCTCTTCTTAACGTACATACTTCTCTATATGTTTCCATGGGTCGCGTTTCTTTAGGGGGTGAGTTTATATTAACACTGTAGTTTATTTAAGACAGTAAACATAATTGATAAGGTTGCCAAAATCTTCTGATATTCGCGTCTGAGATGAATATTTGAATTGGTCGGAATCTACCCTCCCTCGTTTGGTTGGTTGTGGGAAATTGTGTATCACTTTACCACGGATATGAACGTATTGTCCAGAGCTGAGGATGACAATATTACAAGAAGCTACGTTAATGATTGTCTTCCAGGTGACAGTCGTAGACTTCAACCATGCCAATCAGCACAGTGTCTCCCAGCGCTGGGAGTACAAAATATTAGACGTCAGCGGAAGACGATTTCCTTTTGTATTTGATGACCTTGTCTCGAATATTCCCAATTTGAAACTTTGATTATGACGTCATGCTATGTGGTCACATGAGATCGGGTAGGTGATAAGTCCCAGTGTCCAGTGTCACTGCCTGTTCGTAGTATATAATTTTCAACATATTATGAAACAACTAAGAAGCCATGGCAGCCTCTGCCAAGCCTTACAAGAGGGATCATTTCAATTTTTCAGTCGTGAATTTCTCCTTAACGTTGAGCAGTACCGCCAGCCCCAGGTAAAGGGTCTTAATTTTACAGTTGCTATTGTACCCCAGAGCATGTCCATTTGATTCAAATATCACGGAAAGACATTTTGCTTACAGGTAAGCCTTTAAATCAAGGTTACGTCTTCTACCCTCCCTTCTTGGTTGGTTGTGGGAAATTGTGTATCACTTTACCACGGATATGAACGTATTGTCCAGAGCTGAGGATGACAATATTACAAGAAACTACGTTAATGATTGTCTTCCAGGTGACAGTCGTAGACGTCAACCATGCCAATCATCACAGTGTCTCCCAGCGCTGATCCGACAAACGAGCACAAAATCTTAGAGGTCAACGGAAGGCCATTTCCTTATGTGTTCGATGAGGACCTTGTCTCGAATATTCCCAATTTGAAACTCCGTGATGACGACGTCTTGCTCTGTGGTTACATGAGATCGGGTAGGTGATAAGTTTGCATCATACACTATACTATGTCCCACATCACTGGCTATAAGTAACCCGATATCATGATCCGGGTCAGAATTGGCCTTCAGCAATCCATGCTTGTGGTAAGAGGTGACTGACACGATCGGGTGGTCAGGCTCGATGTCTTGGTTGATTCATGTCATCGTATCACAATTACGCAGATCGATGTTCAGGATGCCAATCACTGAATTTTCTGGTCCTAACTCATATTATGCCAGCCTCTGTACCAAGCCTTTCAACAAGAGGGATGATTTCGATTTTCCAATCATTAATTTCTCCTTCGTGTTGAACATTACCATCTGTTCCGCTCATGACATCTACATATCTCAATTATCTCAGTATCTCAGTATCTCAATTGCTTTTAGAGCATGTCCATTGTATTCAGATTTCACGGAAAGACACATTTTGCTTACAATTAATCTTCTCAATCGCCAGTTTCACCTCCAAAGGCCATCAAACTCATTTCCATAATGTCTTCAGACATGTTCTGTTAGACATTTAGAGGAACTTACTATATATGAGGGCACGGGTGGCTCAGTAGTCTATAGCGCCGCTGAGCAGAGTTGAGTCATTGGGACACACCAGAAACCTATGATTGTGGGTAAGAATCCCGGTTCGCCCCGATTATGTTTCCAGATTTGTCAGTACCCAGAGCTCCAGATAAGCTGCGTATCTGCGTAAAATACGCATAAGAAATGCAGAAATACGCGGTAAAATAAAATCCAAGCGTATCAAATACGCAACGAACATTACAGAAACGCTACAAAAATAAAACTTGTGCGTATCATCAAAATATTGTGAAGTAACCCTGCGTATTCGATTAGCAAATCAGCAACTTATTTTGAAATTATAAACGGGCATTCCGTCAACCTTGCCAAACTCCACGATGACAGTTACATCATGATCATTTACCATCACACTTTCTTGTGGAAGTATCGTGGTATTTTTGAGTCCTTTAAAGCTCTCGAACCCACACGAAACCAGTTTGCAGGGCCAAGATGAATAGTGTTTTTAAATATTTAACTTAAATACCCACATGTGTAAAAACTAGTGGGTAACAGAAATTTGAATACCCAGATAGAATTACTGATACCCAATGATTTTTAAATGCATGGGTAATATAAAATACCCACAAAACCAAAAGCTTATATTATCTGGAGCTCTGAGTACCATACCTTTGCTCATCACTTTCATCTGTTTCACTTCGGGCTTTCTTCCTGGATGAAGCCTACACGCCGTGATACTGTTCAAGCGGCGTTAAACCTCACTTACCCACTCCTGTACATGACACGTTGCTTGTCAACAGTATGGGCGCTGCTATCCCATGCCATGAATCATACCACTTAAAGGGCAAGTTCACACGGAAATGAACCAATTTTTCTTGTACTTTTTCCACATTAAAAGTGTTAACATAGAAGTGTCATAGACAAAAATATAAAAACATCAAATTTAATTAACATATTTTTTGCATTAAAACGATTTATATTTTTCACTTTTACCAAGTGTTCTATTTCCATAACAAAAACACCATGGCTTATGCCCCTTGCAATATGACGTCATTGGTGCCAATTGATAAACATTATGACGTCATCATGCTTCGTTAGAGCCGCTTCACGTGGTGTAGGTACAGTTTTGTGATTCTAGCGTCTCAGATGCCAGCCAGAATTGTGTTATGCTGAGTCACCACTGCGCCGGAGTGTGTCGTAGACCATGTTGTTTTACCGCAAACTGGTCGTTGATATCTTTTGCGTTGAGAATAGACAGGGACCCAGTTGAATTGGCACCAATTACGTCATAATCTAAGGGGGATAACTCAGCCCTATTTCTCTCGTAAAACGAAGGCCTCATAACGGCACATCATTTTAACACTATTGGGAGCTTCCTACTTTCACTGTGAAAAAAAATGAGTGTATATTTTCAAACACAGATACTAACTTATTCTAAAATTGCGTTTTGTTTAGAAAAAGAAAGAAAGTGATTTTTGCGTGTACACTTCCCCTTTAATGAACATTGTGATGCATGTTCTACATACTTATCCTTTTTGCGTAGGCTGTGGCATCACTGATCTTACTCAGTTTGGTACCATAATGCAATTGCTAAAGACGTTGTTGTCCAAAGTGGTAACATGTACGAGCTGCATCACTAACGGTTCTCATGTCACATGGTACTGACACTGACTGTGATATGACTGGACCCGTGAAGATGCTTGCCGTAAAAGGCGACTATGCGTCGTAAGAGGCTACGAGCGAAATCGGGTTGTCAGGCTCGCTGACTTGGTTGATACATGTCATCAATCCCAATTGCGTGGATCGGTGCTCATGAAATCAATCACTGGATTTTCTGGTCCAGGCTCGATTACTTACAGACCGGCGTCATATAGCTGGAATATTGCTAAGTGCGGCGTTAAACATACAAACAAACAAACAAAACAAACAAATGTGACATGACTGAACTTCTGATACAATCGGTGTTGTCAAACTCAATCAATAACTCATTTCTCCCGATAATGTGTTTACGCTCGTCAGCACATACGGTGGTCGTGGGTTTCACCAAAGTGGTAAACGTCTGAGACCTGCATCACTTCGGGCTCACACCCAACATCAAGCTGACATACTGGAATATTGTTCTGCAATAAACCTAACTCACTCAATCAATCAATCACTCATTCACACCCTCACAGGAACTCATCCCACATCAAGTTAACATACTGGAATATTGTTCTACAATAAAATTAACTCACTCAATCAATCAATCACTCATTCACACCCTCACAGGAACACATTGGAACTTTGAGATCATCAGCATGCTTTTGAATGGTATTGTGGAGACGATTCCACACAGGAAGGAATCTCTCCACCTGGAACAGGCATCGCAGGACAAACTGGACCATTTCCCATCACCAAGAGTCCTCAGTTCACACCTTCTATTTGAAAACCTACCAAGGGAGATACTAGACAGGAAGACGAAAATTGTGTACCTCATACGGGACCCGAGAGACGCCTTGTCATCCTGGTATACATGCATTAAGAAGATTAATCTTTCTTATAACGAGCAGTGGAATATCACGTTACCGGATTGGTTAGAACTGAGTACCAGTGGTAAATGTAAGTCTGTTATGCATAATTACATACATCGCAATTACAGATTATTTATAATATATAAGATATCTGTATGTTATGTAAACGCCACAGAGTGTGACATTATTCATATTTACATCATTTATCTCGCTCGCAATGCCAGAATCCTAGTGAGTTTGCTATGTTAGGCTTTGGGCGTCTTAGTTATTATGCTAACTTTAACATGCATGTCACACAACAAACAGAAAAGGGCACATTCATATTCGAATATATATAAAAATATGGTGAAAAGAGGACTTGGCAATTCATTTTGTCAAACACGAAGGACACCATTTTGAATTGTGACTGATGATATTATTTACCTTTAATAGTATATATTATTATACAGTGAACTACAAATGGACCACAAAGTTTAGTTCGTTTGAACCGTAGGTCGTTATAAGCATATATACAGCAATGGCTGGGACCAAAAATATGTTCGTTATATCCGTCAGTTCGTTATTAGCGTTTTCATTATAAACGTAGTTTTCTGTGTGCTGATATTAATGAAGCGAAGATATAGATTCCTATTTTATTTACATTCTCTGAACAATGATTATTGTCATGATTTCCTGGACGTTTATCTTTTAACGTCTTCCCGTACTTAATTCTTTCCACAGAGAAGATGGTATTTGGTTTGCTCGTGGCTCTTTTTCTTTAAGTAAAATATCGCTGTTGTAAGTTTGGTGTTTACTTACATGTCACTGTCTCGTGTTGTTTTCTGTGTGATAGTGGAGTGGGGGAGCTGGTTTGAGAATATCGCTGTTGTAAGTTTGGTGTTTACTTACATGTCACTGTCTCGTGTTGTTTTCTGTGTGATAGTGGAGTGGGGGAGCTGGTTTGAGAATATCGCTGTTGTAAGTTTGGTGTTTACTTACATGTCACTGTCTCGTGTTGTTTTCTGTGTGATAGTGGAGTGGGGGAGCTGGTTTGAGAATATCGCTGTTGTAAGTTTGGTGTTTACTTACATGTCACTGTCTCGTGTTGTTTTCTGTGTGATAGTGGAGTGGGGGAGCTGGTTTGAGAATATCGCTGTTGTAAGTTTGGTGTTTACTTACATGTCACTGTCTCGTGTTGTTTTCTGTGTGATAGTGGAGTGGGGGAGCTGGTTTGAGAATATCGCTGTTGTAAGTTTGGTGTTTACTTACATGTCACTGTCTCGTGTTGTTTTCTGTGTGATAGTGGAGTGGGGGAGCTGGTTTGAGAATATCGCTGTTGTAAGTTTGGTGTTTACTTACATGTCACTGTCTCGTGTTGTTTTCTGTGTGATAGTGGAGTGGGGGAGCTGGTTTGAGAATATCGCTGTTGTAAGTTTGGTGTTTACTTACATGTCACTGTCTCGTGTTGTTTTCTGTGTGATAGTGGAGTGGGGGAGCTGGTTTGAGAATATCGCGAGCTGGGAGAGGGCTCTACAGGAACACACAGATCATCCCATACTCCTTGTGTTTTATGAAGAGCTCCTGCGGGTATGTTAAAAGTATATCATTAGTTATGGTGTGTTTAGTTGCCGTATACGCTACGCCCAATATTTTTCTGCTAACCTAAAATGACACCGTATACGGCAACTAAAGACACCATAATGAACTTATTATGCCGAAGGGGCTGTCGGGTAGCCTAGTGGGTAAAGCGTTCGCTCGTCACGCCGAAGACCCGGGTTCGATTCCCGACATGGGCACAATGTGTGAAGCCCATTTCTGGTGTCCCCCGCCGTGATATTGCTGGAATAGTGCTAAAAGCGGCGTCAAACCATACTCACTCACTATTATGCCGAAAAGTTTACACTTTCTGGTATCCATATCGCACATTTTGCCTTTTATCAGAGATTTCCTCATCGGTACTACCAGCAAAGCGTTTGACAGCCATTGCTGATGTCAAAGGGAGACTACTCTTCAAACCTTGTTGAAAATTTTAACTATAATCTTTATCAATAAAGTCACGAATGTGATCTCAAAACAGATTAATGTCCTTGCATATCACAATTAATGATAGTAGAGCACAAAAAGAGTCAAAAAACGGTACCAGCATTTCCATGTGTTATATGTGAAGTGGGTGTTGGAATATCCAAGATGGCTGTTACTGACGGTATACGGTCTCATGCTAGGTCAGTATCGACCATCTTGGATTTTACGGACGGTATACGGGCTCATGTGGGGTCAGTAGTTCTGCTCTCTGAATGGTCAAACTCACTTTGAGGCAAAATAAACATAAAGATGCATGACCATTGTTATTGTCATGACAGTTATGAACAGATACAACGATTAACATATTTTAGAGATGGTCAGATTGACTTATGTTAGTAAATGGAACAGTTGAAAATGGTTTCTTTGATTATCGACTTTTTGAACCCATCTATTTATTTAACTCACCGTTAAGTTGTCGTTTGCAGGCAGTTCTGCAGGATAGTTATAAGGGTCGCCCTGGAATTCAATACTGACTTTTGTTTTTGGTGTTGGGTGGGTGAGTGGATGGTTGTGGACGTGCTTCATCAAGAAATAACTTACCTTTGCAATACATTCGGGTCGGTTTAGTGTGGTTTTAAAGTGTATTTTGGTTATTAAGAATTCTGATGTGATCTCGAACAAAGACCTTTAGGATGAAAGGACCAGAAGAAAACCAGATTGACTTTACATATCTACTGCTCACTTGAACCGACCCCCAAAATAGTTTCGGAACAATACGTTTACAATGAGAAATACATTTAATCCTCGATAATCCGGCAGTTCTGATTATTGGTGCTTTAAGACTGAAATATTAGCTGATTTGGTTGAACCATGCATTTTCTTATTCATCCAGGAACCTCTCAAGGAAATCACGCGAATAAAGGATTTTCTTGGCGTACCTCGAGATGAACATTTTTGTAAAAGAGTGGTTGAGAAAACAAAGTTCGAGAAAATGAAAAACGACAAGGAAAAGTATACAGAGAAATTTGCAGGGAATGCGGTCCATTACCATAAAGGTAAAATTATATATGATACATGCCAGCCATGAACTGTGAAAATTAATTAAATGTAGCTTCCCAAGTAAAAAGGCATGGTCTGATATTGTTAAGGAAAGGATTATTTTTGCAGACCAGGAAGCTGTATGCTCTAAGCTGCTATCTAGACTTAACTTAAATAGATATGTTTCGCTACGTAATGATAAAGAACACAGACTCTGGCTGCTTGCACTTGAACGTCCTGAACAGTTCCCAAACCTGTCTCATCTTGTACGGCTGGGATGCCTAAATATAGAATCTAGGGAATGTCGATGTAGAATTGTAGCTCATGATATTTTTAAGCCTGCCTTTTTGTATTGTCCATTGAATATGAATGACAGAAATGAACTATTTGAAATCATTTGTGATGTGATAGATGTCTCTACATTTGCAAGGCTATGAAGTGAGGACGATGATATAATCCTGTCTGTACTACTTGGAGGTATGGCTGAGTGTGTTAGCTCTTTATCTCAAAGTCTATGGGGTGACCTTATGGTTATTGTTTCAAGATACTGTAGGAAATGGCTGTATCTGTTTCAAAACAGTTATAAGAATGCTTGATTGTCATACATTTTGTAGGTATCATTTCTCATAATATTGTTAAATTGTACTACTGTACAGCTCTGTAATTATACATAATATCATATATGATATGTATCTTCAAGATCTGGAGGAAATAAAGAATATCTATCTATCTATCTATCTAGGGCTTGGGACTTATCGCTTTGATCTTTGTCGGTGCTCATTATCTAGCTGGCGTCAATTTGCACATTGCTGTTTCCATTCTCTCACCTATTAGTGCTAATTACCGCCGGCCTCCTGTTTGCCCTTTGCCGATTACCTGTCAATGATAACTTAAGTGCTGGCTTCCATACTATCAGCGCTAAATACTGTAAAGTGTTGGTTTCCATTGTCTATTGCTAATCACCTATCAGCGCCAATTATGTTTTGGTTTCCCTTGTTAGTTTCCCACCCTTGTCAGTTTCCACATTTTGTTATCTTATTAATTTTGTTGTCCTCAAATGTACATATATTTGCTCTCTGCCTCATGGCATTCATTCTAACAAGGCTCTAACTCTAGAAGCAATACTAAACCCACAAAATAAACTAGAAAACTTCAAGGCCTTAGGCGTATTCTTAATAAAAACGGAACTAATAAAACGCATCTAAAAACACAATAACCTACCAAATCAAAATCACATAAACAAACAAACATCCACCATACCCAGGTCCCTTAGTTCTCCTCCCCAATACCATCGGCATCTATTCCAAATCTCAAAATTCCCAAATTCTATATAAGCAACCCCTAAAACCCCCCTCTTGGGTTGCACAGACCACTTTCGCCCCTTTCGGAAACACATTAAATGGCCTGGCCGGGCCCGTGTGCCAAATACGCATCAGTCGGAAAGCGCACGTTAAATCTCCAAAGTAAGTAAGTAAGTAAGGCATTCATTCACCTGATGAAGGAGTAAACATGTACTCCGAAACGTTGTGTTCCTCGTAATAAAGAGGCTGACAGCCATGAATTCTCTTCCTTATGTGTATCACGTCTAAATGCCTTTCAAAGGCATGTATGATACGTTTCGCGCAAAAATGACAAAATGTGCGACAAAACCATTTCTATACTCAAAAGAAATCTCTGCTAAAAGTCCACTGAAGCTGTCCAACTGGTGTTTGTTAATCACTATGAAACAGTGATGACACCAGGTCCTCACGTCAAGTGTAAAAGGTGAGGTTAACGATTCCGCTTCATCGTAGGCATGTGTTTCTAATTGCACTATCAAATATGTCAACCTATATCGTTGTGTACCTAAATTTGTCTATCTGCTGCAGCTGTTATCGGGAACTGGAGGACGATGTTCACTGTTGCCCTGAGTGAGTGGTTTGACGACCTGTATGAGGAACAGATGGCTGAGTCGGTCTTCAGGAAGAGGTACTCTCACAGTGAGATGTCGTGAGAACATGTGAAATACACATCCCACCAATGGCATATGTGTAGGAGAAACCATGTCTCCGAGGGTTTACAGTCTCTAGTAATCTCTAGGAGACATGTTTTTTCAAACTTATAAACCGACTCATCGCATAGACCAACTCTCAAATGTATAACCTGTATCGGAGATTAAAAATATCGCCTGCAGTCGTGAACTCTGTTCAATGAAACCGGTGACCTCAGCACGTGGGTTTCGCAATGGCACGAAATCTGCACGTGCGTCTTGTAGGCTGTTCGTAGTTTTTGTTCTATCAAGGGTTTACAATGATTGTAAGCCCCCCTGCGAGGTGTTACCACAATTTCAAAAACTCCATATCAAGTTACACAAACAGCCAGTAGGTTTATAAGAAGCAAAACAGTGGTTAATTGTCGATACATTAATTGTATTGTCAGAAACCTGATTTAGATTACATGCCTACAGGTGTATGATATTTACCCCTTATGAATTTCATTAAGGGTGGATGAGTGAATGGTTATGGTATTTGCTTTTAGCAATATTCCAGCAATATCACGGCGGGGAACACCAGAAATGGACTTCACACATTGTACCCATGTGGGGAATGGAATCCGGGTCTTCAGCGTGACGAGCGAACACTTTTAACCAATAACTAATAATTAAGAGGGTATGTACGAAGAGGAACCCTGCGTTATCTGACACCTTTTTGTGTTCTATGCACGTCGGTAGGTGTTGACATGGAACCACATTATGCAATCTAAACAATGTAAGAAGAGTACAGTAGACTACGGTTATAACGAACTCAAAGGGACCACTAATTTTAGTTCGCAATAACCGTAGTTCGTTATAGGCATATATACAGCATATATACAACAAACATCTGGGACTAAGAAATAAGTTCGTTATATCAGTCAGTTCGTTATAAGAGTGTTCGTTATAAACGTAGTCTACTGTATTTACATAATATGACACTTTCTCTGTAGATGTGTATCTTTTTAAAGATTAGTGTGTATACTACAACAACATCACACATCAATCCGCAGTAAAGACATGTTTAACGCCAGAAATTATAAATTAACTGCACATAGACTGAACGAGCTAAACCCAGACAAACGAAGCTCTTGTAACCGTCATCTTGACTGTATGTTTATCTATTTAGCCATTTTATATATCATCATTGTGCCACCGTTGGTAGGCTTGTTGAGACACATAAATGAATGTGAATCTGACAGTGAGATTAAACAGCCAGCTCACGACGCTGTCTTTCTGAAACACTGGGCTTAACATTGTCCACATATTCGAAACCGATCGCAGAGACGCAACCGACTTGTTGGCGACAAAGCAAAATCGTACACATCTACATGTTCATCGCTTTGGGGTTTTCGCCTACGTTAAACTCACGCTGTGACATAACTGTGATACGAAAACAGCGTTTAGCTCACTTACTCTCATTAAGTTGAGAAGGTCGCTTGTGAGATCATCAAAGTGACCCTTGTTGCTCTTCGTAAACATACACTGTTTTCACCGACAGGGTGGGGATACAGGTAGTTTTGTCGTCTCGGGCAGTGTACAGAACTGCCCTCCTTAGTCAATCTGTGATTCTTTGATCAGAGGTTTTCATCCCAGATCCTCCTAGAATCATTGGTTTGCCACCACCATACCTGTGCTCGTGGTTCTGCATGACTTGGGCCCTTCCTGCACATTAATTAAGCTGACACAATTGTTAAACTTAACTCCCTCACTTATCCACAATGTTGCATGTGTCCATGTGGTCACAAAGCAAGGTGTTCGTGATTTACATAATTCATTCCAGATCCTTCCTGGTGACAGTGCATCAGTAGTGTAGATGTTCCTCCATGATGATCATAGTTTTCGTGCATGTGTTCCTCATATCTCATTTTCCTACTCTGCTGTTCCCTAGATTACCTATGTGCATATCCATATTTGCTCACAGAGACTGTAGAGCTTTTGATATGACGAAAGCTCTCGTCGGAAACCATTTCGATTATTACTTACTCGCTGTTGAGAACGTTTTGGACAGACAAGAAAAGGACGTCTACGAAACTGGGATAAATCTCTCCGCCATCGACGTCATTGGCAAAAGTGTATTCAATGTGAAACGGGATAATGTTGAAAAACAAATAATTTTAATGTCTTCAGATCAAGTTTCTTTGTTTAAGGCTAACAATTTATCATTCAACCCTCGAGTAAACATTTTAGGAGTGATTCATTCCTTAATTTAATGAAAAGAAGATATTCATTTTGAGATGAAGTAAAATATTGCATAGAACTGATGTTCTCATTTATCATGTGCATTTGTGGAACTATTACTCAGTATTTTTGATAGTTTAGCATTATATGTTTTTAATGTTATTGTTATGTGTTTAATCATTACGGTAGATATGAACAAAATGGCTTTATAGTTTAAGGGAGGTAACTCCTTCGTGTATATCACTTTAATACCATTGGGACCAACTCATCAGGGCAGGTTGTATTCTATCATTAAGAGGCGCCATCTGGTGTCATGGGCGTTTGACTGTTAACAACCCTTCCGAGGTGAACATTGTCCATCCTTACCGTCCACTAATGTTGGAATTACCATGGCAATGGTAGTAGATAAAATGTTCCACGCAGTTTGTAACTTGTAATTACTTTACATTTAACTGTCGTAATGCATTGCTTCATATACATTTGATACAATTATGTACAACTTATGTGCCCTTCATTGACCCTTAAAGATACAAAGCCATTGTCACCTCAGATAAAAGATCAACCTCAATATTTCTTCACTCGCACATGAGAAGCGTTTAAGTAACTGCTGATGCCAGCCTTATTTCTTCATTGTAACCATCGGGGCGGTCGGGTAGCCTAGTGGTTAAAGCGTTCGCTCGCCACGCCGAAGACCCGGGTTCGATTCCGGGTGCAATGTGTGAAGCCCATTTCTGGTGTCCCCCGCCGTGATATTGCTGGAATATTGCTAAAAGCGGCGTAAAACAATATTCACTCACTCATTGTACCCATTACTAAGTCCTTACGTATCCACAGTGATCTACGCAATAAAATAACCAACCAGTAACGTATTTGTGTGCTTATATCAACGACAAAGAATAAAAGAAACAAGGCGGCCAGGAAGGTGGAAGGAAAACTATTATATGTTACATACTAACATTCAAAACATTAAAGCCAGAGAGGAATTAGGAATTTTAAACTATACATTTATATACCGCAGGTATCCAGGTATAGTATCTGCTCAAATGCGGTTTTATTTGTGCCCCGACCCGTGGATCCGTTTGATCCAAGTTATCATTCTCGACTCCGTGGGGAGTATACAACCCAAGCTGCCCAGGGGCGGTAGAAGGTTTTAACATCCACCTCACATATCGGGTACCCGTTCTTTGGTGGGTGAACAGAAGCACATTTGAACTGAGTCACTTGCTCAGGGTGACACCACACGTGTTTACACCATCTGGCCATCTACCATCGGACGAGTGGGTTCTTTTGAGTGCACAGGGTGTATGTACTGTACACTGAGGGTAGTGACAGCACTGTAAAGACCTGTAAACATTGTTGGTCCAAAGACTGAATTACAATCCGGTCACAAGCGGGATACGATCTCAGCACCTGGCGCTTGCTAGCATGGTACTTTTGACCGCTTGCCCACTCCGCTATTATCTTCCCAAAACAGATTCCTTTAGGCGTAAAAAGGCAAAACGTAATGAAAAGTGCAGAGGTGGATCACAAAAAGTCAGCGATGACGCCAGGAGTTGTATCGGTAGCTCATACCACTCACACAACGTGCAGTAAATGTTTGTTGCTTAGCTCGGCGCCCACAAATACACCTTCCATACTACTGCTGCCTGTAAAGGACCAGGGACACATAGCGCATGGCTGTTTATATTGAAACTGATATGTTAACTTTAAGATACTTCTGTGTTCAAGTGCAGAGATTCGGCTGGATGGCAGTCTTTCAACAAAAACGCCCAATATAAAATACGAAACTTAACTAACAGACACAAGATATTACATACCACCCATGGAAACTTCTAGAGTTTATTTTCTTCCGTCAACTTGTTACATAATGCTGCCAATATCATAGAGTATTCGCGGCTGTGAGGAGTACATTTGGATTTGGATTGGTCGGAATCTACCCTCCCTTCTTGGTTGGTTGTGGGAAATTGTGTATCACTTTACCACGGATATGAACATATTGTGCAGAGCTGAGGATGACAATATTACAAGAAGCGACGTTAATGATTGTATTCCAGGTGACAGTCGTAGACTTCAACCATGCCAATCATCACAGTGTCTCCCAGCGCTGGGAGTACAAAATATTAGACGTCAGCGGAAGACGATTTCCTTTTGTATTTGATGACCTTGTCTCGAATATTCAAAATTTGAAACTTTGATTATGACTTCATGCTATGTGGTGAGGTGAAATGGGGTTTAACGTCGCGTCCAAGATTATTGCACTTATATAGCGACGTGCATGCACGTGTATGTGTGTGTGTGGCTGCTTGTACTAGTCCGGACTGATGCCGATTTATAGTGCTAGCTCACTGAGATACCATGCCGCAGTTTAACATGAATACCCCACTCAGACACAGTATACTGACTCCGAGCCGACCAGTCCTTGTTTTAGCCCCTTAATGCCGAGCGCCAGACAGGGTAACAACAAGTACAATCTTTTAACGTCTTTTTGTATGACGCGGCCCGGGATCGAACCCTGGACCTTCCGCTCTCCGGGCGGACGCTCTACCACAAGACCACTCATGCTATGTGGTCACATGAGATCGGGTAGGTGATAAGTTCCAGTGTCCAATGTCGCTGCCTGTTCATAGTATATAAATTTCAACATATTATGAAACAAATAAGAAGTCATGGCAGCCTCTGCCAAGCCTTACAAGAGGGATCATTTCAATTTTCCAGTCGTAAATTTCTCCTTAACGTTTAGCAGTAGCACCAGCTCAAGGTAAAGGGTCTTAATTTTACAGTTGCTATTGTACCCCAGAGCATGTCCATTTGATTCAAATATCACGGAAAGACATTTTGCTTACAGGTAAGCCTTTAAATCAAGGTTACGTCATCAGAGTCCATGTTAATAATTGCGTCAAAACCGCTTCCATAATCATCCCAGACATTTTATGTCAGGCACTTAAAGGCACTTATTATATATGAGGATGAACGGGTGGTCAAGTAGTCAAAGGTGCCGCAATTCGATGTGCCTATGGCACGACAGAAACGTATGATGATGGGATCGAATCCCGGTTTGCCCTGATTATGTTTCCATGTTTGTCAGCAGCATATCCGTGCTTGTGGGCTTTACTAAAGTGGTAAACATCTGAGACCTACATCACCTCGGGCTTTCCTCCCACAATAAGCTGCCACGCCGTGATATAACTGGAATATTGTTCAAGGGGACGTTAAAACTCACTCACAGAAACACATTGGAACTTTGAGATCATCAGCATGCTGTTGAATGGTATTGTTGAGACGATACCACTCAGGAAGGAATCTCTCCACCTGGAACAGGCATCGCAGGACAAACTGGACCATTTCCCATCACCAAGAGTCCTCAGTTCACACCTTCTATTTGAAAACCTACCAAGGGAGATACTAGACAGGAAGACGAAAATTGTGTACCTTGTACGGGACCCGAGAGACGCCTTGTCATCCTGGTATACATGCATTAAGGAGATTAATCTTTCATATAACGAGTAATGGGATATGACGTTACTGGAGTGGTTAGAACTGAGTACCAGTGGTAAATGTGTTTGCATAACACAATAACACATTGTATACTCTAAAAAATAACCTGACCAGCTAGGGACCTTATGGTTGACAAATCACATTTTGACAATTCATTATATGTTAAAACTACGGTATCTTCGGAGGACTAGAATACAATTCACAAGCTCGAATTCATATTTTGTTACTGACCTACATTCCATCCAACATATGGACTCATTATCCGACTGATAACTGTTTTAGAAATAATTGCAGTTTTTGGACATAATGTCTGATGAATTGAAAGTAGACTTGTGTGCTGAAAGATGTTTTTAAATAATGGTTTTTTACATTACAAACTAACGAAAGAAAAAATAGATACTTTTGTTCAGTCCGCAAACATGGCGATCTTTTCTGGAGTAAGCTGACGTCAAACGTCTTTATGACGTCATAGCACACTTGTATCCTCGTATCCATAAGGCCCCTTTTCTCTCGGTGGGTCACATATACTCTACAAAATAGTGGATAATCGGAAATAACTTGAAATGTCAAAATTTGTGAGTCATTTTAGTTTCGAGTAAAAGTTGTTTAAAAATAATGTACGAATTGGGAACACATTACAACTGGTAGTGAAGTATGACAGTAGATGTTGTGACCGCCAACGACCCTGAAGGGCGATAAGGGCAATATGGGAAAATGAAAGTTGGCGTTTTAGGATCAGTAGTGCGTAATATCGCCACGATTTGTCAAACTGTCATTCACTCGACGAGGTATAGTGCGTATGAGTCTCCCAACGGCGCTTTGAGGGAGTCTGTCCCATTGATCTTGCAGCGCCTGGTCAAGTTCAACCAACGTGGTCGCTGGCCGATGTCGATGTCGTGGTCGCTGAGCACGGTGAGCACGGGCGTTGTCGTCCTGAAATACAACAGGTCGACCTACACGCCTTTCAAACGGGACAACAAAGGATGTCAGTATGTTGTCCCGATAGTACTATGCAGAGACTATTCCTTGCTATTAATATGGAGTTGGGTTCGCCCAGTCATAGTTATTCCATGCCACACCATAAATGATCCTCCGCCGAATCTGCCATGTGGTTAAAATTGGCTTGATGTTCATTTCGACATGGCCAGACACGACCACACCTATCTAGGAAGTACAAAGTGAGTCGGGACTCGGGCACTTTAATAGCGACGATTACCCCAGTTTCGAAGTGGCGTACATCGGTGACGTCTGTTGGCAATGTGACGATTTATAATGAGCGGTACAACAATTGTCCGTCGACCATGGATATGAGATGGATGTAGATGGTTTCTAATCGTCTGTCCAGTAACTCGTATTCCTGTTGCCTTTTGAAAGTGTGCATCAGTTTGATTCGCCGTTTGAGCTCGATTTCGTGGAGCCTGGTTTAGGATCAATAGATCCTGTACTCTTGTCGTTTATCCGGGACTCCCTGAAATGGTCGATCGTTAGTATTGTTGGTCTGTTGGTCCCTTTTCTATAGTCTATGAATCACAGACCGAAACATTGAACGTACTGCACGCTGTCATCTGCCAGTTTCCAGCATGCCAATCGAATGTACACGCTCCATTGTAAACGCCACATCGCTTGTTCATGCATAAACAATGACTTAAATCAAGTAAATCACAACTGTGTAATATGCAGAATCAATAAGATTTACAGAAATAATTGTCCACAGAGATTCATGCTTGAAAGTGTTAAAATTATGAATGACACCCACGCACGTGTATGACGCTACCGTGTGAGGCACATGCAAACTTATGGATGTGGTTTGGTGTTCAAGACGAAAGTTCTTGTGTAGGATGTTTGACGTCAACACTTATCTTTGTTCTAATAGTTGGTATTAATATTTATACTTCATGAGCCCTACTTTTTAAAGACTTTATATAAAAATATATTGTAATATAGTGTGACATTTAAAGGGCCAAATAGATGTTATGTTAGGCTTTGGGAGGCATTAGAGATCATCTCAACTCTGACAGTGCATGCATAATAATAAACCCCACAAATAGTAAAGGGCGCATACATAATTGATTATATATGGTAAAAATAGTACTTGACAGTACCTTTGTAACCATTTTGAACTGTGACTGATAAAAGAATTCCTGCACGTTTCACTATTCGTACTTAAAGATTTTCACAGAGGAGACGATGCTATATCTTTGGATCGGGGCCTGTAAAATGAATTAACGAAAGTTGTAATTATGGTATTTATTTACATTTTACTGCAGTGTCGTGTTTTTCCTGTTTAGTGGAATAGGCAGCTAGTTTGAGAATATCGCGAGCTGGGGCTCGCCAGGGATACCCCGATCATCGTGTACTCCTTGTGTTGTATGAAGAGCTGAGGCAGGTATGTTACAAGACCAAGCACACACACATGCACGACTCGGGTCATCTGTGATGGCAGTATTGATCACGATAAAATTTATGCGCATGAATTAAGAAATGTCCAGAAGACTTTATTATGATGCAGCAGTCGGAAATTGTTACTTACATTAATATTGTTACATTGAACTCATAAACTGTGCAGGTCATGCACTTCAGGTAGTTTTTAGGACTCAAACAGTTATACAGATAATGACTCATTTTTATGTTGGTAATAGATGTGTGTGTGTGGGGGGGGGGGGGGGGGGGGGGGGGGGGGGGGGGACAGAGGTATAATTAACATTTCCAATACATTCTGGACGGTTACGAGCATTAGGATATCAAGGATGCTATATTGTTATTAGGACTTATCATTGATAAACTGAACCAGGTTCATGAATCCATGTGATCTTGACCAGAAACTTTCCGAATGAAAGGATCAGAAGGATTTTAAATATCTATTGGCCGTTTGGTCCGACCCAAACTCTCGAAACAATGAGGTTACAATGAATTATGTATTGTGGCCCATCAATCCGACCAATCTGATTCATGGTGCTTCACTCTAAGCTGTCTGTGTGATATCAGCATTGCGTTCCTGAAGCAGTATCAAATAGTGATGACACCACGTGTTCGCGAAATTAATTTTAACGTCTGCCTGTTAATCCCCCATATTTGTCTGGGTTTTCTTAGCAATCATCGGGAACTGGAGGACGGTGTCCACTGTTACTCTGAGTGAATGGTTTGACGAGCTGTTTGAGGAAAATATGTTTGGTACTCTCACATTGAGGGAAAGATGTTTGGTACTCTCACATTGTGGAAAAGATGTTTGGTTCTCTCACAGCGGGACGTCATGAATCAATTTCCGTGAAAGGTCTTCTTGAATGACCACTATCACTATACTTCATAACGACACTACAAATACTTAATGTCTAACGTTCCCCTGAAGCCCATTTCTGGTGTCCCCCGCCGTGATATTGCTGGAATATTGCTAAAAGCGGCGTAAAACCATACTCACTCACTCACTCCCCTCCACGGGCCTGACTATGCCTATATTAGCCACAAATCCCTTTCCACAATCATGACAAATCTCTTCTTATAGTCGAGTCCGTTGAACGATTGCGACTATATAATGAGCATGTGTTGGCGACAAGGTTACACCGTAACGTGATATGTATATGAAACACGCATATGCCTGGTATGTGATAGCGTGACGTTAAGGTTCGATACACAGCCTGTAACAAAAGGTTAACACAAGAGGTAGACACACTCAGAGTTTGTGTGTTTGTTGTTTAACGCCATGCTAAACATCCTAGCTACATGAGGGCGGTCGGTAAATAATCGAGTCTGGAACCAGACCCAGTGATTGACATCATGAGCATCGATCCACGCAATTTGGATACGATAAGTATCGACCAAGTCAGCGAGCATGACCACCCGATCCCGTTAGTCGCCTCTTACGACAAGCAGAGTCGCCTGTTTCGGCACGAATGGGTTGCTGAAGACCTATTCTAACCCGGATCGTCATGATCCACTCAGAGTGGGGCAGATATGGTAACATACACAAACGCTTATAACGACTCTGCACTGAGTTGATATACGAATAGAGACAAAAACAGATGACACTTCAAATGAGGTGAGGTGAGGTGAAATTGGGTTTAACGTCGCGTCCAAGATTATTGCACTTATATAGCGACGTGCATGCACGTGTATGTGTGTGTGTGGCTGCTTGTACTAGTCCGGACTAATGCCGATTTATAGTGCTAGCTCACTGAGATACCATGCCGCAGTTTAACATGAATACCCCACTCAGACACAGTATACTGACTCCGAGCCGACCAGTCCTTGTTTTAGCCCCTATATGCCGAGCGCCAGACAGGGTAACAACAAGTACAATCTTTTAACGTCTTTTTGTATGACGCGGCCCGGGATCGAACTCCGGACCTTCCGCTCTCCGGGCGGACGCTCTACCACAAGACCACGGAGGCGGTCGACACTTCAAATGATTTTAATAGTCATTAGTTGATTTGATATTCAACAGCAACGGGGTAATTCGTGAGATAAATGAGATCAAACACAACGGGCGGTGGGGCCTGCTTCGATTCCTCCCACATGGGTAAATGTGTGAAGTCCTTTTCTAACTGCCATGTGCCCACCATGTTATTGCTGAAAGCGGCGTAAAACCACATTCACTCATTCTTTAAACAGCACTGAGTGTATACCGCGCCGCAGTATTGTCGGAATTTGCCCAAAACGGCATGGAACCAGTGGAGTGAGTCTTTGTAGTGATATCATATATTGTATAATCCTTTAAATGTGCACACTAATATAATGGATGACAAACAAATCTGTTATGATATATGTGTAATATTTTGAAAGTGAAACTGTATTTAAGGTTTATAAAAAGCAACAAAAAATAATTTTCTTTTGTATCCCGCCGATAAGCTGATAAAACAAACTGTTTTCTAAACAAGGACCGGTTGAAATTGAAATAAATCAAAGATGGGGAAAAAGGAACTGAATTGCTTTTTTCCCACCTACTGACAAGTGTTTCTTGTTAGGGGTCCGTAAAGAAAGTCACTTAAAATAAAAGAGCGGCCTGAGTACGAAAAATACATTCAAATATAAAATTTAGAAAAAACAAAAACACACACACACAAAACACACAGAATAATTGAGTGATCAAGAAATAATCTGCATGTAGTTACATGTGACACTACACCGTGGTAAAGCTAAAGTTCATGTATACAGGCCGACTGATTTTAAGGAGTAGGCCTCCAAAACAAACCGTCATTCAATTAAACCAGTTGGCAAACTGACTGAAGTACTCGTATACAGTTATGATACATAGTAAACATATGCACGTACAATAGTACATACCGCTCTTTCAAATACCTTATTCAACACACACAGAATCAATAATACAGAACGTTAAACTGTTCGCAGCGTGGGACGTTGGGGTTGCTAGTGGTTGAAACATTCGCTCGTCACGACGCACATTGGTACAATGGGGGCAATGTGTGAAGCTCATTTCTGGTGTCCCTTGCTGTGATATTACTGGAATGATGCTAAAGGCAAATACCATAATCACCCACCCTTTTTGACATTCATAAGGGGTACATATCATACACTTATAGCCATGTAATCTGAATCAGTTTGGTTTCAAGTTTCTGTGACATTTCTGGTGTCCCTTGCTGTGATATTGCTGGAATGTTGCTTAAAGCGGCGCAAAACCATATTGTCAGAAGCGGGTCGTTTAAAGCGCCGGAATGTGTAGAGTTTGGCGTGTTTGAGTTCGTCCCTTGGACGCTCAAGAAACCTATGGTCGTGGATTAGAATCCAGATTAGAATCCAGAATCCTGATTGATTCTAGGTTTGTCAGCACAATTCCTGTGCTCGTGGGTTTCACCAAAGTGGTAAATGTCTAAGACCTGCATTACTTCAGGCTTTCCATGATATAGCTGAAACGCTGTCAAAAGCGCGACAACTGGCTCGTCCGCTCTATCATAAATAGGACGAGTAACGACAGGATATCGCTGTGTCATGCACTACGTGTATACTGATACATATCGTGACTCACAACACAAGGAAGGCAAAAACCCGTTGTTGTTAGTCAGCTTTGAAAGTTATCAGATAACATCTAAACACCCCTTGATCAACGACGACATAGAGGATCATTCAGGGTACCACACACGAACCAGCAGAAGTGGCGGTTGCTATTCATTAATATGTTTTGCTTATGTAGTGCATATCTGTGTACCCATACGTTTTCTACATGCAAGTACATATTTGTTGCAGACAACATGAGGCTTATATCCAAATGGGTTAATGGTCATACCAATTGAACAAAACAATATATTCCTTTCACCTGCGTCTCGTTTCATGTTATTAAAGTGATCACTCCCACGTGAACATGGTGAGTTTTCACGCCGCTTTAAGCAATATTCCAGCAATGTCATGGGCAGGGGACATCAGGAATGGGCTAGACACAATGTACCATCAGAATCGAACCCGGACCTTCGACGTGACAAGCAAACACTTTTACCCCTACCGCACCTACCAAACTAACGAGGAGCAAACAAACCACAGTAATTCGAAGATCAAATTAAGTCACTGAGTGCAACACTACTAATATACAAAAATAAGTTGGCGAAATGGCCTCACTGGCAGCAATTAACACATGAGTAGCCAATACACAGCTGCATATGTTCCTTTTTAGTTCCATTAAAACACATGTAGCTGATTCGAGTCCCACTGTGTACGTAACTGACCATGGCCTCATGCACACTGGTAAGGGGTGGGTGGCTATCCTATTTTACAAGTGTTTAAAATTGCAAAACACATGCAACATTGACCTCCCATAGGAGTTTGACCCCTCTAAATTGGCACGGGGTCATCAGGTGCACATGAACACCAAAAACGAGACTGTCAACTTCAGACATCATTGCTTTCCAGTCGACGTGACCTTGTTTCTTATAATATTTTCAGTTAGTTATTGCAGCACCCCTCTAACAAGTACAAAGTTGAAAGAATGATTATACAAAATAATAACAAAGTTACAGTCCATCTTGCCACGTTTAAAGAACGATGTGCGATGAACTATTCCTGTATGTAATATTAAACCAGGTTACACCTCAACTCAAGCATGGCGATTTCCAACAAAGCTATAATCATAACACATTTCTGCAAAAAGCAGAGTCCATTGTACGATCCCGACTATATCACGAGCATGTGTTTATGAATCATTATCAAATATTAATGATACTAGGTATCCGGCTCAACCCCTGGTATCCAGCGCAAACACATGCAAAGGCAAGTCAAGTGTTCATCTGAACAGGTAAAATTCGGAAATAACATCGGACTTCACATTTCTCACTGATGTGTCAAGTTTGGGAATGTCCTCCACATGTTCACCATACAAATTTATGAAAGTTTTACTTAACTTTACTCATAAAACCAAATGTAAATCCTTTCCACACCCCTTCGTCTTAAGACATGACAATGCTCTTATGTAGAGAATAATGTCATTGGTGGCATCAACATCTATCAACTCTTCAAGGCAACAGTTGCCTTATATAATGTCCTGATATCTTGCAGCATCTTGTTCTATCTGTGTAGTAGTGGTGGTCTTTGGCAATATTACATATTGATGTCATACTGCTTGAGGAGTTTCACTAGGGCAGATTGGCTGTACAGTTGAGCTGTCTCCAATGGAGTTCGAGCATCCTCTCCCTTTATGTGGACGCCATACCGGGGTAATAAAGAACGTACAATGTCTTCACTTCCTCCTTGACAAGCAAGATGGAGCAGAGAGTTCTCTGAAGCATCAACCTGCTGATCAACGTTGGCTCCAAGATCTATGAGAACCTGAAACACTCTGTACTCTCCAGATGCTGCTGCTACCATTAATGGTGTCCACCCATGCTGACCTTTGTCCTCAAGTCCTGTGGACGTCAGGTTTAAGATTCCTTCAATGAGTTTATGACTCCCAAAACGGCAAGCAATATGCAGAATGGAATCACCATCTTTGTTCTTTCCAGTTGCATCAGCTTTTCTGTCGACAAGGTATTGGAATAAATCAGTGTTATTGTGTCTCACTGCGATCATCAAAGGGGTGCCTTGGTCACTCTCGGAATTGACATTAAACTGATGCGTGTCGATCAGATTCTTGACAATTGCCAGATTACCTCCCTTACAAGCAAGGTGTAGAAGGTTCATTCCATACTTGTCAACGTGGCTTTTATCTGGCTTCTGGAGCTCCATAAGTAAATAGAAGACGCCCTGATGACCGCCGTCTGCTGCGACCATCATTGGTGTCCAGTTGAAGTCTTCCTTAATGTTGATGTCGACATTGTATTCAGGCTTCAGTAAGACCCTTACTACTTTTTCATAGCCTCGAGTGCATGCCAGATGTAGCGCAGTCTGTGAAAACACCCCTCGTATGTTTGGATTGGCCCCGGATGACAGCAGCGCATCTACTATTTTGTGAAGGCCATTGTCAGCTGCTTGCATGAGAACTGTTCTGCCAACACAATAATCCAGATCAGTCTGATCCATTGCAGACTCTTTAAACTGTAACAGGATGAGACAAGCAGCTTCACTTTTGTCTGTGCAAACACAGAAAGCCAGACTCTCGTGTAGAATGTCTTCTTTTATGTTCGTGTTATTTAGAAGGTACTTGACACTATCTTCATTGTTTGATAAAGCGCACCAGTATAACAAATTTCCACCATGATATTTGTCATGGGCGCTCAAGCATTTTATATTCTTACGAATAATCTCCTTCAATAACTGCATCCTGGTATTCACCAAGAGCTTTGAACAGTCTCTTATTCGTTCATCATGAAAGGCTTGGATAATCTGGCCATGGTCATCTGGAACATAGATTACATACAGTTAGAGTGATTACCTATGTATGCGTGAGGCAGCGATGATAATGTACACTAGATCCGTTACATGTCAGGAATGCTTACTCCACTACAGTGACTGTGAGGGGTGAACATATTAAACCAAACACAAGTTCAATACAAAAGTGAGGTACACCAAGTCTCTTGTATCCTGATGCAGGAGTGGGTAGGTGAGTCGCTTGGTTTGCGGAGGCATGTACTGCTTTGAGCCATGATTAATGTATATCTGGGCATGCCATCTATTTGTGGAGGGAAAGATAGCGAAGATGTTTACAATATTTCTAAGACACATACAGTTTATACGTATAAGTTTTCTGATTTTATTTTTTATCTTTTTTTTGGCAAATTGAAAGATTTGTTGTGGACATGATAAGCAGTGATTGATATGCTTGGATAATAGAAAGCTAAGGAAGCAAGCAATTAATATACATTCCACCATGAATTTGGAAATTACTCGATTCTGATTAGAGACTGTTAAATCACAATAAACCCCCTCTGATTTAAACACCGCGGAAGCTTATATTAATAGAATAGTACTTTTTTTCAGTTATTGTCGGTTGGCGTATTTAAAAAAATTATACCTACAATAATGCAGAGTTACGGTTACTACAAAATTCTAAGGATGTGTGGCAATACATTTCGCGCAGGAAATACGATAGAAATCAACAAAGAGAATGTATTTTAAATTCTGGCAACAACAGAAAGCTTGGAATTTGGCGCTCTTCTATTTACGACTGTGTCACAATGAGCGAAATGACGTCATAATGGTGACGTTCGGTGTAGAACGAAATCTTTGCAAACTTGCTTAGTTTTCTTTAGGGGTGCCCACCTCATGATAGCTTTCCAAGTTGCCAAGCTTATCTGCTGTCAATGCTTGCCACATGTTCGAGGGACGTATTATGGCATAAACAAACTGCTTGAGCACATACAGCGCCATGTTTTGTATAAAGGCTGTTGTCGGTGAATCCGTAATTAACATCGACAACCCACTCAAAACACTGGACTCAACCCATGCCGCTTCACTCAAAATATTTGCTAACACCAAAGAGTTTGTGTTTTATTTAATCATGGAAGAATGGGGACAAACATATTGTGGTTTCAATGTAGAGCTAGGCTACCTGTAGATTTTACCGTGCTTTATTGAATTTGGAACCGAACGCGCAGGTGTCTTTGCTTGACATATTTATCTGATTGTGATGCTAAATAAACTTTTGCACGTGTTAATAAGGTAAGGTGGTGGTGAAATGGGGTTTAACGTCGCGTCCAAGATTATTGCACTTATATAGCGACGTGCGTGTACGTGTGTGTGTTTGTGTGGCTGCTTGTACTAGTTCGGACTGATGCCGATTTATAGTGCTAGCTCACTGAGATACCATGCTGCAGTTTAACATGAATACCCCACTCAGACACAGTATACTGACTCCGAGCCGACCAGTCCTTGTTTTAGCCCCTTAATGCCGAGCGCCAGACAGGGTAACAACAAGTACCATCTTTTAACGTCTTTTGGTATGACGCGGCCGGGGATCGAACCCCGGACCTTCCGACCACTAGACCACGGAGGCGGTCACGTGTTATTAAGCAACTAGTAGGTGACCATTCGGAAAAATTCCACTTCTGAAAACATACATGCAGTATTGGTCAACATATGTGGCATTATAAACGTATGGGGCTATGCCTTAACATTGTGTATCAATTGTACCTTTAGTAGTCCTAGTCTTCATGTCCACTATATTCAACGTGGGCTCCTTTGGCAGGACGTCTATTTGCAATGGCTCTTGAGGTGCTTGTTCACCTGAACTGCTTGCTTCAGTGAATGCTTTCTCTATTTCTTCACTTCTCTTTAAAGACTTGCAATTTCCGTCAGAGAAAAATATTCTGACATGGGCACGAACACTTCCTTTGCTGCAAAAGACAATAATGAGGACGTATGACAGTTAAATGGTGTATTTGAGTCTTTTAACGGTCATAGTTTTCCTTGCAGATTCGTCTCTTAAGTGGCTTATAGGTATAGTTGGTTAGTACTGTTTCAGTAACATGTACGTCGACGGTTGATACAATGCCTCAGTATATTGTTAAATTTTGTGTCACTAACGTGGCTATATCCCCCGCCCCTGTTGCAGAATTTATGACATAATTAAATCTAAACAAACCCTAACCTTTTTTAACCGAGGTGGAACTTGTCATGGAAATTGTAAAAAAAAGATGAGTTTGGAACCTAAGTCCATCTTGTTGCCATGGAAACGTAAAAAATAAAAATTTCAAAAATTTCTCAATCGCAAAAGGCACCAGTTCAGCATGTACCTGACAGACCTGCAAAGTTTGATGAAAAAATATTGAACGGTTTATGAGTTATGCTCCGGAAACGAAACGTTACGGACGGACGGAGCCCGTTTCTATATCCCCCGCCAACTTCGTTGGGCGGGGGATAATTAGATATCTTAATGATAGGAGTATTAAAATATTAAAAGGGTGTGCAATATATATAGAAGTAAATAGGGAGGCTCTAATTTTTCAAATTAATATCCCTCATAGCTACACGCAGATATCAAGAAACGAAGTACATGTAAGGCGACTGCATCAACAAGACGAGGAAGCCCGCAGTCAACTTCACCTTTGTTATGTCTTATTCATATAGAAATAAAAGCAACAAAATCCTTTCCATAATCATAAGAAACCCATATTGCAAGTCATGATCACTCATGGCCTGCAAAGCAAGTTAATAACCTTATACAATTGTCATATGTTAGAAGGGTTTGTTAAAAGCTGCTGCTTTGACTGCCTGTCAAGTGAATACACTCAAACATTGTGTCTTTATTATATCTTTACTTAACCGTGCGTAAACTGTACATTGACGTCAAACACAGAATGCAGCCACTCTATACAGTCATGTAATATAATAGGTTGTACACAAAAGAGAGGTGTCACCTGAAATACTCTATCCGGCATCCTTTGTATACTTTTCCTAGTTTGCTGTCACTGCGAAACACCTTCTCAATCTAAACAGAAGAATAAATAACTTGCAACAGACACACATCACTGAGGAACTGTCGGGAAGGGCACTTTATTCGATCCACTTTCATCAATTTCCACGAATATCTGGTATGACTAAACATTCTAAAGATATGGTTATCAGTCCAAAAAACAGCTTATCAAAATAGTTTAAACTTGATGCTTGACGGTTATAGGTGAATATGCTGAAATGTCAACTTACCTCTTTTGACAAAAGTGAAGTATACTGTTTGAAGTTCACGCTAAATCTGTCTAATAGGTCGGAGGTCCATTCTCTGGACTTCACCCAGAACACTGTGAGTTCGGGGTCAACTGAAAAGTAAGAATTACTCTGACAATGAAATACACGGGTTACACTGAATTTGAAATGTAACATTTACTCTGAATATGAAATGCAAGAGTTACACTGAATTGGAAATGAAAAAGATTACACTGACTGTAAAATGTAATAATGACATTAAATTTGAAATGTGAGTATCACACTGAATATAACATTTACAGCGGGTGACGTTTTTTGATTATTACACATTTCCATTTCTTTTACAGTTTATGACTGCTACATGGAAGTGAGCGAGTTGGTTCTAAAGCTTCTTTGAACACTATTTCAGCTATATCGCAGGATGTCAGTTTGATATGGGAACAACATTAATCCCGACGTGGTGTGCGTTTAAGACGTTTACCACTTTTGTGAATTCCACGAGCATGAAAGAATCTAAGATTCGATACCAGAAAAAGATTGTGAACAGCTAATATTGCGGGGCCTTTGATGACTGGAGCTCCCGTTTCCTCAATAATATGTTTTAAAGTATTGTTATTGGATTAAAAACTGGTTAAGGGCAGAGCGCTAAAAAACAAAGTTCTAGCAATATGCCAGTCACATACGGGCAGGGTACACCAAGACCTTAGGCTTACTAAGAAAGCGAAATTGACCCCACATCTTCCACGTGACGAACCAGCACGGTAACTGCTCGGCTATCCACACACACACATAAAACAGACATAATAGTTTCTGGCTTGTTATAAAAGACGATATCATGCAACTCGGCACCACAAACACAATGCGCGTATTTTGTCACCATGATAGTATAACAGAGGCATCTACAAGAGCAGCTTTGTTCAAAGGACAATATCATTGTAATGCATTTTCGCACCCGTAAATGTTATTTCGTAAAATAGATCAGCCAAATGTCCAAACAGAATTTGGGGCAGTGTGGTAGCCTAGTTGTTAAAGTGTTCGCTCATCACTTCGAAGGCCTGGTCCTCCACATAGGATCCTTTGAAGCCTATTTCTGGTGATCTCCACTCAGTGACTTAAACAAAATGAATTTGGTAGACACAACACTCCATATTTAGGTTAATACCGGATTGTGTTAATAATACGACTGTGTACTCCTACCTTGTAATGGATTGATCACCATGTGCCTCTCGAGGGTGTTAAACCTTGCCTCAAGAAGCCTTATATTCCTTTCAGAAATGTCCTCAGCTATCACCTGTCGAATGCCTTCTTTCAGTTGTACATCATGTATGTCTTCATTGTCGATTACTTGTGAGACAGCTGTTTGGGTGCTGTTGACAATAAATATCATAGATACAATTGGGAATGTGTCAATCATTCTTATAAACCTACTGGTTGTTTGTGTAACTCGATATGGAGTTTTTTGAAATTGTGGTAACACCTCGCATGAGGGCTTACACTCATTATAACATGTAAACAAATATAAAATCAAATGACAAATGTTTTCTTTATATTCCCGAGGATCGAACTCGCAACCTTCATATCTGTAGCCCAGTGAGTGTGAAGCAGCACTGCTTTTTAGAATGTCCTTTTCAAGATCCGTACGCCAGCAACAGGCTGAACAATGAATGAGCGTCAGTCAAAGCAAAACGTATTATAGTCTCATCCTACGAGACGCACGTGCATATTTCGTGCCATTGCGAGACGCACGTGCAGATTTCGCACCGTTGCGAAACCCACGTGCTGAGGTCACGGGTTATACATTTGAGAGTTTTTATTACAGTTATTTCATTAAAAACGTTGTCTATGAGATGAGTCGGTTTATAAGTTGGACAAACAATGTCTCCTCGAGACTACGGCCCCCTCGGGACGTTCCCGAATGTGAGGGTTTACAATCTCTAGTAATCGCTCGGAGACATGGTTTCTCCTGCACATAAAATATGTATACATGCAAGTAAATCTAAATCATACATACAGTACCTTTCAGTCTGCTCACAAGCCCTATTAACACAGAGCAGTGTTGGGTGAATCTTTTCCCACCGTCTGGCAATTTCAACAACAAGCAGCCTCCGGTCATTGTCATCAAGATCCGTAGTCACACATCCCTCTTTGTTTAAGTGACGATTCAGTTCATTGAAGTGCCTTCTTGGTAGAACCCAAAGCTCTTTCTCTGTCCGTTGGTCTGTGATTTTTCCCTGAAGAAACTGTCCGACGTCTAACTCCGTCACAGCCATACATGCAAGCGCTGCTCGTTGTACATGCAAGCATTTTCTCTCGCCCATGACCAGAGAATGTGGATTGCAAAATCTGGAACCATCTTTGATAATGTCCTTAATGGCATTCTGGAATGGTCGATCATTCTCGAGCGTATTAATGTCAAGGACGCCATCAATGATACTCACGTGTTCGTCTGTGAATAAACGAATTTTGTGGGTTACATTTTGAGTTAGCTGCAAGGCATAACGGCTGATTTGCTCATAAGAAACCGTGCTTGGCTTATGAACCAAACATAGGATTAAGGCTGGTCTTCCCACGGTGACTATAAACACATCCCACAAGATACCATCTGGGTGTGGACAGGAAGGTCTTTCGACGTCCATCATAGCTGCCAAGGATTTGCTGACCAAAACAATGCCATCTTTGGACACAGTTTCTATCCTTTTGTACAAACGTTGTTTGATGTAAGATGTGCTTGTTTCATCATGTGGAACAACCACGATGCAATCTGAAATTGAAACACGACAAGTTGTATTCATAACTAGGCATGGTAGTAGGAGTAAGGGCACCGGTTTATCAGCACCAAACACATCACTGTAACCAAATGTGAGTGAGTATGATTTTACGCCCTTTTTTAGCAATATTCCAGCAATATCACGGCGGGGGACACCAGAAATGGGCTTCACACATTGTACCCACCAAACCCATTAACTACGGACCCGTGAAGATCCGGGATAGAATAGGTCTTCAGCAACCAATGCTTGCCGTAAAAGGTGACTATGCTTGTCGTAAAGGCGACTAACGGGATCGGGTGGTCAGGTTCGCTGACTTGGTTGCTGCATGTCATTGATCCCAATTGCGTGGATCGATGCTCATGATATTAATCACTGGGTTGTCTGGTCCAGACTCGATTATTTACAGACCGCCGTCATACAGCTGGAATATTGCTGAGTGCGGCGTTAAACAACAAACCAACCAACCAACCATTAACTACGGCACGGGTGGCCATAATGAACTCACTGTTCAGAGTTGCGCCTTCCAGAAGAATATGATTGTGGGTTCGAGTCTCAGATTCGACCTGATTATGTTTCTAGGTTTGCTAGCACCATAACCGTGTAGGTTTTCCCTCTCATATCACGCTGACACTCGTTCAATACTTTAACGCCAGAGTACAATAGTCCCGCCATCTGGCAAAGCAGATTGCACTGGCGTAAAAAGCGAACCAGTGAATCCAGCCTCAGCATCTGCCACTCACACAATTTGCACAACACGTTGAGTGTTAATTGTTGCCTAATACAACATCTAGACAACAGCCACTCAACTATCAAATCTCAACTTCACTCACAACCTGATTCACTCATCCGGACATAAATTAGAAAAAAAACCTTAATAAACTAGGGAAGGGGATTGAATGTCAACTTCTTCATTATGAAGAACACAACGTTTCGGAGTATATGCTCACTCCTTCATCAAGTGAATTAATACCATGAAACAGGGAGCATATATGTGTACATGTAAGGACGACAAAATTAAAAAGATAACAAAAGGTAGAAACTAACAAGGGAAACCAACAGATGATAGGCGCTGATAGGTGATAAGCAATAGACAATGGAAGCCAACAGATGATAGGCGCTGATAGGTGATTAGCAATAGACAATGGAAGCCAACAGATGATAGGCGCTGATAGGTGATTAGCAATAGACAATGGAAGCCAAAAGATGATAGGTGCTGATAGGTGATTAGCAATAGACATTGCGTCATGGCATTCATTCACCTGATGAAGGAGTAAGCATGTACTTCGAAACGTCACGTTTCTTATAACAAAGAAGTTGACATCCATAAATTCACGTCCTGTATCACTTCTAAATGCCTTTCAAAGACCTTAATACATTTGTGCAATCAATAGATAATTCAGACAGCAAAAGTAAGGTAGGGCTGATTGAATCCATGGTTACACGCAATATTGATTACTGTTCCACTGTTGCTTTGCATTATGGATGATGCGTGTCATTAGTGAAAGTAAGAAGTGCTAATACTTGCATGACATGTATCAGCTGTATTTAAATATTGATCACTGATTGATTGTGGCTACATGCACAGTTCGACCCGTCCCGTGAAGATCCGGAATAGAATAGGTCTTCAGCAACCTATGCCTGCCGTAAAAGGTGACTATGCTTGTCGTGACAGGCGACTAACGGGATCGGGTGGTCAGGTTCGCTGACTTGGTTGATGCATGTCATCGTATCCCATCTGAGCGGATCCATGCTCATGATGTCAATCGCTGGATTGTCTGTCCAGACTCGATTATTTACAAGCCGCCGTGATATAGCTGGGATATTGCTGAGTGCAGCGCTAAACAGGAAATATACAAATAAAACAAAACTATGCATATTTCAGGGAAATAATCGTTATGTGTTGAACTCAAAAGAGTACCAAACCCGTCCTACCTTTCTGAATAAGTTCGTCTTCAAGTTCTTGAAACGCAAACCCAATCTGTTTCAGTTTTGGCGGGAAGGGAAAGGAGCTTGGTAAAACAGTCACCTCGTGTATCTCCCTAGCTAGAAATGAGGGAACAATGGAACTACATTGTACACGAACAGTTGGACGAACAACTACAGTAAACTACGTTTAATACGAACATGCTTATAACGAACTGACCGGTATAAGGAATTTGTTTTAAGTCCCGATCATTTGTTGTATAAATGCTGTATATAGGCTTATAACGAACTTCGGTTATTACGAACTTCAAGTTCGTTATAACCGTAGTTTAATGTACTTTGAACATATATATATATATATATATATATATATATATATATATATATATATATATATATTAGTTCGTAATAACCGTAGTGTGTTATAAGCATATATCGGTCAGTTCATTATAAGCGTGTTAATCATAAACGTGGTTTACTGTAGTTATGAAATAGTTTTTGTCACGTTATGTTTTGTCTTCTTTATGTTCCTTCCACATGTAAAGAAAAATTTTGCTACTTCTCTTAAACTGTATCTATATATGTAGTTCAACAACACGTAAACCAAAGATGCTTACCACGTCTCCGTCTCTGTATCCACACCAGGAGAAGGTAGGCCAGGAGCGGAAGAAGAAATCCAATCATCGTCCCAATTTTACTTTAACTGAAAATGAATTTAAAGAGGCGCTGCATTGACGAAGAACACAACAACAGTAGACAGACAAAGAGTCACATACACAGACACACTGACACTCAAACACAGATATACTCAGACACACTGACAGACAAAGAGGCACATACACAGACACACACATACAGATACACTCAGAGACACTGACATACAAAGAGTCACATACACAGACACACTGACACTCAAACACAGATATACTCAGAGACACTGACATACAAAGAGTCAATTACACAGACACACTGACACTCAAACACAGATATACTCAGAGACACTGACAGACAAAGAGGCACATACACAGACACACTGACACTCAAACACAGATATACTGAGAGACACTGACAGACAAAGAGGCACATACACAGACACACTGACACTCAAACACAGATATATTCAGAGACCCTGACAGACAAAGAGGCACATACACAGACACACTGACACTTAAACACAGATATACTCAGAGACACTGACAGACAAAGAGTCACATACACAGACACACTGACACTCAAACACAGATATACTCAGAGACACTGACATACAAAGAGTCAATTACACAGACACACTGACACTCAAACACAGATATACTCAGAGACACTGACATACAAAGAGTCAATTACACAGACACACTGACACTCAAACACAGATATATTTAGAGACCCTGACAGACAAAGAGGCACATACACAGACACACTGACACTCAAACACAGATATACTCAGAGACCCTGACAGACAAAGAGGCACATACACAGACACACTGACACTCAAACACAGATATACTCAGAGACCCTGACAGACAAAGAGGCACATACACAGACACACTGACACTCAAACACAGATATACTCAGAGACACTGACATACAAAGAGTCAATTACACAGACACACTGACACTCAAACACAGATATACTCAGAGACTCTGACAGACAAAGAGGCACATACACAGACACACTGACACTCAAACACAGATATACTCAGAGACACTGACATACAAAGAGTCAATTACACAGACACACTGACACTCAAACACAGATATACTCAGAGACCCTGACAGACAAAGAGGCACATACACAGACACACTGACACTCAAACACAGATACACTCAGAGACACTGACAGACAAAGAGGCACATACACAGACACACTGACACTTAAACACAGATATACTCAGAGACACTGACAGACAAAGAGGCACATACACAGACACACACATACAGATACACTCAGAGACACTGACATACAAAGAGGCACATACACAGACACACACATACAGATACAAACTTTTGCTGTCACAAAGTTTAATGTGGTTCAAGGAAGGGCAGCACACCTCATGTATCACTCCCAAATCCCATTCATGACGCGTGGGAGATAATTGCGTGACCTGTCACGCAGACACAGACAGAGAGATGGACACAGGCACACAGAGAGACACACTCAGAGACACTGACGGAAAAAGAGACACAAACACAGACACACACATGGAGAGACACACTCAGAGACACACTCAGAGACACACTCAGACACACTGACAGAAAAAGAGACACATACACAGTCACACTCGTTCAGATACACTCAGAGACACTGACAGACAAAGAGGCACATACAAAGACATACACGTTGTTAGACACACTCAGAGACACATTCCGACACACTAACAGAAAAAAGAGACAATTACACAGACACACACATACAGATACACTCAGAGACACTTAGACACACACTCAGACACACTGACAGAAAAAGAGACACATACACAGACACACACATTCCGATACACTCAGAGACACTGACAGACAAAGAGGCACATACACAGACACACACATACAGATACACTCAGATACACGCACAGACACACAGACACACACACTCTCATACACTGACAGAAAATAAGATGAATACACACACTCACAGACACACAGACACACAGACATGCACACACATTTCCAAATACAAACACACTAACTCAAACCTCATATGATCGAAGACTTTGAGGACATCGAAAAACGTAATCTTATCTGTACAATAAAGGTTTGTTGTTTTTCATTGATATAGATCGTGTTGAATGTCGCTTCACTGTATACACTCATATACATTCACCTCTATAATGATATTACGCAGCTTTGAAAATAAATGGAAAGTCCAATAAAGCAAATCTGTAGCAGTCTTTGTAAAATTCGACTGAGATATGTATAGTGACAAACAAATAAAGGGCTGAATCAAATCCGCTTCCGGAACGAGGTTCAACCGGACAATACCCACACTAGATGATATAATACAGGTTACATATACAGAAATATGAATCATACCGACATCCAGGTCGGATGTATGTACGTACATTTGACCACGGGGAATTACCCTCCATATCCAATGTGACCACTCTAACGCTACGGCATGTTGTGCTACACATTCAAACTGCCAGCAGTTTCAAATCACATTACTGTTTGCAGAGACTTCTCGGTTCAGTACATGAACACAATTGGGAAACCCGTGTTTAAAATTCAAAAGGGTGTGTAACGTAATGACTCACCCGAAGGAAAAAAGGTATGTCGTTATAACAATGAGAATCGGGTAACTACTTGAGTGAGCATGTATGTCAGTAAAAAAAGTAGTATTGCCTGGTAGAGATGTGACAGCATATAACCCTATCGAATACGTACATTAAACACTGTGTAACATGTAAACAGGATTGTAGCATTGGTATAAGCTACTCGAACAGGAGTGATGGAAGAAATTATGTCCTGACTGAAACAAAGTCACTATTGTGGTGACCATTCACAAGGATATAAACTATAGTACAGTAAACTACGTTTATTACGAACACGCTTATAACGAACTGACGGATATGACGAACTGTTTTTTTTGTCTTAGCCATTTGCTGTGTATATGCTGTATATATGCATATACCGAACAACGGTTATAGCGAACTCAAAGGGACCACTAATTTTAGTTCGTTATAACCGGAGTTTACTGTATATTTTTACCGTCCGTGTCTTTGTTTCGGGGGATAATCCAGGCTGGTTATTATCTTGCACTGACTGGTTTCAGGTGAACGAGATGATCCTTGATAGTGAGTCTCTCAGCATGAATGTGGAATACCTCCTTTGAATCTGTGTTGTACAAGCTTACAGTCTCTCAGCATGAATGTGGAATACCTCCTTTGAATCTGTGTTGTATAAGCTTACAGTCTCTCAGCATGAATGTGGAATACCTCCTTTGAATCTGTGTTGTACAAGCTTACAGTCTCTCAGCATGAATGTGGAATACCTCCTTTGAATCTGTGTTGTACAAGCTTACCGTCTCTGCATAAATTTGTCATACCACTCTTGAAATGGTATTCTTTCAACGCCAGTGTTTGTGAGTTCATATGCTTCTGGCCCATGTATGTCATAAAACGCACATCCACGGACTGGTCTCACTGCCACTTCAATGATGTACACATTCTGTTGTTCCTGCAAGGTGTGCAACGTACACTTAATTATCGGTGTGTCGTTGCTTTGGGGGCACAGTTTGATTGTGGTAATCTTATCATCGAGCTCCTTCTGGATAAGCGGCTTGCAGGCAGGCACGATGTCTATACCTGTCTTTTGAATGTCTTTAGAGACGTAGTGTGAGTAGGTCTTATCAGTTTCTTCGGTGCCAACAAAGTAGGACCCACCGTTTGGATTCTTGGACAATGAAGTAATGTACTCCCTTAACCGTAGACCTTCCCACATGTAAGTTACAAAACCATTGACATTCTCAAAATAAATATTTTTGAATTCACTCTTGACGTATTTACACTGAACAGACCGTCCCTCACCAGACAGAGCGTCTATTCCTTGTAAACATGCGGTGCCATCTTGTATGAATCGGTCTTCTTTCAATAGATGATACAATGTCAGAGGGGAGGGCTGGGTTATTTCGTGGTCTGTTGCCACTTTAGTCTTGAAATCCGACGTAGAGAGTTGTGACGATCCCCGTACCACAATGACGAGAAACTCATGCGATTGTGCTTCACCTTTTTGTAATAAATCACTCAGCCAAAGAAATGTAAATGTATCAATAAACAGGGAACCTTCATCCACGAGATCATTGAGAGGCTTATCAAACAGTTCATGGAAGTAGTGCAGGCTCCTGTCTGTGGGCGCAATGTCACCAATGTGGACAAACAATGCTCCACCACCAGAATTACGAAGAGCTGAAACCTTTTTGCAAAACTCACTCGTAATCTCACTTCTTCTACTTCTGAATTCGTTTTTATCTCTTTTAGGACAAGGCTTGCTGACCAACACGATGGGAATGTCAATGCTCAAACGAATCTTTTCCTTCAGGCTGGTTGATGAAGAGTACTTTTCACAAAGGTCACAGACTGCAAACAATCAGTGAGATTACATACTAGTATCATACGTGTCTATTAAGAGTGTGTGAGTGAGCGAGTGTTGTTTTACGCCGCTTTTAACAATATTCCAGTAATATCACGGCGGGGATGGGTGGGTGATTGGGGGGGGGGGGGGGGGGGGGGGGGGGCAGAAATGGGCTTCACAAAGTGTACCCATGTGGGTGATCAAACCTGGGTCTTCGGCGTGACGAACGAACGTTTTAACTACTAGGTTACCCCACCGCCCCTATTAAGAATTTGTTTCAAAAAATAATTCATTTTGATGGTACACGATAAGTAAAGGGTATCTTTTACCATGGATACTGTACATGTCCTTATACAACAATTATGAAACATGATATTAGCAAGTTATTATGTTACGTTTCGGGGCAATCATTCCTAATTTTATCTAAACTTCAATAAAAATAATTGGTCTTACCAGATGTCATCCTTGGGCCATTAACATTTCAAATTGATGAAGCATCTTCATCAGTCCTGCTCACAGTCGGCACCAACACCAGATGCAACCTGGAAATAAACGGTAAAGATGATTGTTGAACATACACGTCGCTCATCAACACGATATTAGCACCTGGTGTTCATATCACAGCGGGGCGGTCGGGTAGCCTAGTGGTTAAAGCGTTCGCTCGTCACGCCGAAGACCCGGGTTCGATTCCCGACATGGATACAATGTGTGAAGTCCATTTCTGGTGTCCCCTGCCGTGATTTTGCTGGAATATTGCTAAAAGCGGCGTAAAACCATACTCACTCACTCATATCACAGCATGTCTCCTTACAAAATATGCAATTTGTTTCATATCATAAACCTAAACATGTACAACTACAAATGCACCGTTGTACAACCTCCGCCAACTTGTGTCGCTACACCTACAGCATATGACGCCTACCTTTGCTGAAGGCCTCCAGGTAATGTTCACCGTTGATGTTAAATGAGAGTGTGTGTACATGCGTGTAACTGACCTACTTTGCCCATTGATTGTAACCCGAACTACACAACACTCAGAGCTTATGCACAGTGACGATCAATCCGAGTGAACATGACAAACAAGCATATGATTGATTAAGTTATGTCCTGTTGAGAGGCCCGCTTTGCTCGTTGTGATCGACAGCAAGCACTATCCTAGCTACGTCCTGCCACTCTGGAAATAATGAAGGGTGGATCGGGAAACAGTGGTAATGCACCGGGCATTTGTTACAGCTAATATTTTGCTGTCCAAATTTCAAGACACCCAGCTTAGAAACCCGAGACTATATTATTTCTTTTTTGGGTGTTCTAAAGTAAAGCCCTCAAGAGATACTATACAATCAGCTAGGTCACGAGCATTGATTTCAAATACGTAATACTTACTCTGGTCATTGTCTCCAGGGGATATCAGCGAGGTGAATTGTTGATATACTTCGAAAACCCACTGACTGACTGACTGACTGACTGACTGACTCACTCACTCACTCGATCACTCACTCACTCAACCAACCAACAAACCACTCACTCACTCACTCACTCACTCACTCTAATATTTTAAAGCTATTTGACAAAAATATTTTTAGATTGCAAATATAAGCGACAAACCCTTTCCTTATTCATAAGAAATATCTGAGTTGATTGTGGGATTCCGACTTGTGCTTCCGAATCCTAAGCATGTGCTTATGATTCACTGTCAAATAATGATGATATCAGGTGTTCGCGGTGATGCGTCAAACTTGGAAACGACCTCCACATGTCTACGATAATGGTTTTGGACTGTTGGAAATTTGAGGTCATCCCTCTTGTCATTCAGTGGTGTGGAGAGTGTTATGTTGCTATGAATCGTTGTGTATTGATCTAAACATGAAACGGTCCCACAGGTAGCCTTTATTTCTAGTTCAGGTGGGTAAATCAGTCGAAGGTAATTGACTATTTGATGGTTATTGAACGATATCGGATCATCAATATACCTGAAGCTTAAGTTAGACTTCTTGGCCAAATAACCCTTTAATATTACACTGCCCCTGCGATAGCATTGTCATGATCAAATCCTTAGGAATTACTACGTCCCATAAGTGTCCTACGTGTTGTGTGTATTACTATGTACTTTGCCTCACTATGTGCATTACTCCGTCATACATGTATGTGTTTATTACTACATCCTATGTGTACAACTACGTCCTTTGTGTGTCACTACGTCCTATGTCTATTAATAATCATATATCTACAACTACGCCCTTTGTGTATCACTACGTCCTACGTGTATTACTACGTCCTACGTGTACAACTACGTCCTATGTGTATCACTACGTCCTATGTGTATCACTACGTCCTGTGTGTATCACTATGTCCTATGTCTATTAATACATCATATGTGTACAACTACGCCCTATGTGTATCACTACGTCCTACGTGTATTACTACGTCCTGTGTACAACTACGTCCTGTGTGTATTACTACGTCCTACGTGTACAACTACGTCCTATGTGTATCACTACGTCCTGTGTGTATCACTATGTCCTATGTCTATTAATACATCATATGTGTACAACTACGCCCTATGTGTACAACTACGTCCTATGTATATCACTACGTCCTGTGTGTATCACTACATCCTATGTGTACTACTACGTCCTGTGTGTATCACTACGTCCTATGTGTATTTCTACGTCCTGTGTGTATCACTACATCCTATGTGTATCACTACGTCCTGTGTGTATCACTACATCCTATGTGTATTACTACGTCCTGTGTGTATCACTACGTCCTATGTCTATTAATACATCATATGTCTACAACTACGCCCTATGTGTATCACTACTTCCTACGTGTATTACTACGTCCTGTGTACAACTACGTCCTGTGTGTATTACTACGTCCTATGTGTATCACTACGTCCTATGTGTATTACTTCGTCCTATGTTTATCACTACGTCCTATGTGTATTACTACGTCCTATGTGTATCACTACGTCCTATGTGTATTAATACGTCCTATGTGTATCACTTCGTCCTATGTGTATTACTACGTCCTATGTGTACTACTACGTCCTATGTGTATTACTACGTCCTATGTGTATTACTACGTCCTATGTGTATCACTACGTCCTATATGTATTACTACGTCCTATGTGTATTACTGCGTCCTATGTGTACTACTACGTCCTATGTGTATTACTACGTCCTATATGTATTACTACGTTCTATGTGTATTACTACGTCCTATGTGTATTACAACGTTCTATGTGTATTACTACGTCCTATGTGTATTACTACGTCCTATGTGTATTACTACGTTCTATGTGTATTACTACGTCCTATGTGTATTACTACGTCCTATGTGTATTACTACGTCATGTGTGTACAACTACGTCCTATATGTATCACTACGTCCTATGGGTATTACTACGTCCTATGTGTATTACTACGTCCTATGTCAATTAATACATCATATGTCTACAACTACGCCCTATGTGTATCACTACGTCCTACGTGTATCACTACGTCCTGTGTGTATTACTACGTCCTGTGTACAACTACGTCCTATGTGTATCACTACGTCCTATGTGTATCACTACGTCCTGTGTGTATTACTACATGAACGTCATATATGTATCACTACGTCCTATGTGTATCACTACGTCCTATGTGTATCACTACGTCCTGTGTGTATTACTACATGAACGTCCTATATGAATAACTACGTCCTATGTGTATTACTACGTCCTATGTGTATCACTACGTCCTGTGTGTATTACTACGTCCTATGTGTATTACTACGTCCTATGTCAATAAATACATCATATGTCTACAACTACGCCCTATGTGTATCACTACGTCCTACGTGTATTACTACGTCCTGTGTACAACTACGTCCTATGTGTATCACTACGTCCTATGTGTATCACTACGTCCTATGTGTATCACTACGTCCTATGTGTATCACTACGTCCTACGTGTATTACTACGTCCTGTGTACAACTACGTCCTATGTGTATCACTACGTCCTATGTGTATCACTACGTCCTATGTGTATCACTACGTCCTACGTGTATTACTACGTCCTGTGTACAACTACGTCCTATGTGTATCACTACGTCCTATGTGTATCACTACGTCCTGTGTGTATCTCTACGTCCTATATCTATTAATACATCATATGTGTACAACTACGCCCTATGTGTACAACTAAGTCCTATCTGTTTCACTACGTCCTATGTGTATCACTACATCCTATGTGTACAACTACGTCATGTGTGTGTCACTACGTCATATGTCTATTAATACATCATATGTCTACAACTACGCCATATGTGTATCACTACGTCCTATGTGTATTACTACGTCCTATGTGTATCACTACATCCTACGTGTATTACTACGTCCTATGTGTACAACTACGTCCTATGTGTATTACTACGTCCTATGTGTATCACTACGTCCTGTGTGTATTACTATGTCCTATGTGTATTACTTCGTCCTACGTTTATCACTACGTCCTATGTGTATTACAACGTCCTGTGTACAACTACGTCCTATGTGTATTACTTCGTCCTATGTTTATCACTACGTCCTATGTGTATTACTACGTCATATGTGTATTACTACATCCTATGTGTATAACTATGTCCTATGTGTATTACTACATCCTATGTGTATTACTACGTCCTATGTGTATCACTACGTCCTATGTGTACAACTACGTCCTATGTGTATTACTACTTCATATGTGTATTACTACATCCTATGTGTATTACTACGTCCTATGTGTATAACTATGTCCTATATGTATTAGTACAACCTATGTGTATTACTACGTCCTATGTTTATCCCTACGTCCTATGTGTATTACTACGTCCTATGTGTATTATTACGTCCTATGTTTATCACTACGTCCTATGTGTATTACTACGTCCTATGTGTATTACTACGTCCTATGTGTATTACTACGTCCTATGTGTATCACTACGTCCTATGTGTATTACTACGTCCTATGTGTATCACTACGTCCTATGTGTACAACTACGTCCTATGTGTATTACTACGTCCTATGTGCATTACTACGTCCTATGTGTATTACTACGTCCTATGTGTATAACTACGTCCTATTTACTACGTCCTATGTGTATTACTACGTCCTATGTGTATAACTACGTCCTATGTGTATTACTACGTCCTATGTGTACAACTACGTCCTATGTGTATTACTACGTCCTATGTGTATTACTACGTCCTATGTGTATTACTACGTCCTATGTGTATTACTACGTCCTATGTGTATTACTACGTCCTATGTGTATTACTACGTCCTATGTGTATTACTACGTCCTATGTGTATCACTACGTCCTATGTGTATTACTACGTCCTATGTGTATTACTACATCCTATGTGTATTACTACGTCCTATGTTTATCACTACGTCCTATGTGTATTACTACATCCTATGTGTATTACTACGTCCTATGTTTATCACTACGTCCTATGTGTATTACTACGTCCTATGTTTATCACTACGTCCTATGTGTATTACTACGTCCTATGTGTACAACTACGTCCTATGTGTATTACTACGTCCTATGTGTATCACTACGTCCTATGTGTATCACTACGTCCTATGTGTATTACTACGTCCTATGTGTATTACTACGTCCTATGTGTATTACTACGTCCTACGTGTATTACTACGTCCTGTGTACAACTACGTCCTATGTGTATCACTACGTCCTATGTGTATCACTACGTCCTGTGTGTATCACTACGTCCTATATCTATTAATACATCATATGTGTACAACTACGCCCTATGTGTACAACTACGTCCTATCTGTTTCACTACGTCCTATGTGTATCACTACATCCTATGTGTACAACTACGTCATGTGTGTGTCACTACGTCATATGTCTATTAATACATCATATGTCTACAACTACGCCATATGTGTATCACTACGTCCTATGTGTATTACTACGTCCTATGTGTATCACTACATCCTACGTGTATTACTACG